CTGTCAGTACTTCAATATACTGGCTAATCAAAATGCCATTTGAACATGGAGTGTTGAATTACATAATGTCACTGCCACTTGCACTGTTTTTTTTGTTAAAATAAAAAATAATAAAAATCACTTTTGAGTTAAAAGAAGAATTCCTTGATAGAAATAACTTGAGAAAACTTGTATATATACACACCACCGTGGATAATATGACCTCGCTACTGCCTTCATTTCCATTTCTTGTCCTAATTTCCTCCTTTCACTCTAAATAACCCTCTTCTTCTTCTTTTAACATAATCAACAAACACTGTTTCGTTTTGTTGATGCTCCAGTTTTGAGTTCCTACACCCTTTGTAAGCTCCTCTCAAGGACGATGCATGGAGAAAACCTCTGCGTTTTAGGTGTGTGTTTCTGTTTTGTTATAAAGTGTTATTTTGTCATGCAACTTAAGGTATTTTAGCTTCACACAATGCTCTATGTCGATATGGCATTATGGATTGTTTTCTTTTATGAAATTAGGTGTTATTGCCTTTTTTCTTTAATTATGTATATCTGTATTGAGGCAACTCCTGGTTTTTAAATGTGCTACATAATTAAACTGACTTAACTTGACATACTTTAATTCATTTTTGTTGTATTTATTTTTAATTAATTAAAAGGATGCCACTAAGTTAAACAAATGACCTAAGCCAGCCATGTGGTCTAAGACGGGCTATTCAGTCTTTGAAAGCAAGCAACATTTTCCACAAAAAACTAAAAAGGATCCAACCCCAAAAAAATCTTGTGTTTTGTAAAGGCTGCGGGTATTTAATCGATAGATATCAAGAGAAAGCAACATGGTGTTGGGGATATATTTGTAACATTCTTCTGAGTCCTTTGATCTTGATTCAGACGGAGAAATGAACAATGCCCTGTGGGGGGGGGGCGCGGTGTGATCGGCTGCTTACATTGCACTAAACGAGGGAGGAAAGATGGCTCTCACACAGGAGCCACACCCAGCGGAGCCCAATGCCCCCCTGAATATGTGTGTGTCTTTGTGCGTCTCCAGTAACAACAGATCCCCCGTTCGGAGTCAGGTGAGCCCCGGACCCGCTCTCATCCTGAGAATGCTTGGAAAGAAGATACTTGCCGGCCTTATGTAAGCGCATTAAATAATGCAGCACTCCAGGCTCTCCGCCCCCCCCCCCCCCACACACACACACACACACACACACACTGAAGTTGGTTGCTGCTGTGTGTGTGGCATTGCTCTTATTAAGCACTCAATTAAAAGCAGATCCCAAGGAGAGGCAGTGCACAACAATGTTTGAATTAGGAACCGACGCCCCGGCTCAGACAGTCTGTTGAAGACTAACCCCTGAGGACCGCGACGCCTTGGAACCCAAAGGCACAGAAGTGGCGGAGCATCGCAGAAAAAAAAAAAAAAAGCAGAGGAATTATTTCCAATGTGATTGGATTACAAATGGGGCATTTACAGAACCAATGAGACTGGATAAATAGAGCAGCAAACGGGAGCTGTCTCTGTGATCCGTCTCAGCTCTTTCCTCCTTCAATCTCAACATTAAAAATGAACAGAGAGATGGGACTCGGGTAAACAACGCGAGGAGCCCCGCTGTATTTTAGTCAAGTGTGCTTATTCCTGACAAGTTGCGTCAGGCCTCCCAATGCACAGCGGTGTGCTCACGAGCGCTTTTGATGCCGATGATGGGGCGTAGTTTTTGTTTTGTGTGAATCACACTTATTCGCCTTCCTTTTATCTGAATTATCCTTCATCCCTCTCAGAGGGAAAGCAAGAGGAAGATTTTGCGTGCAGATACAAGATTTGTCTCAATTAAATCCAGTCTGACCTGGACAGGAAAACTGAAGAGAAACAGCCTGTTTGAGAGTTTTCTCTTTTTTTTGCAGTAATTTCTATTTTTATACTATTGCAGATGTGGTTCCTCTACATTACTCTTTTTTTTTTTCCTTTACTTTCCTCCCAATGCCGACTGTATAAGCCCCCTTAATACAGTGACACAGAATCCATCTCATCTGTATCTGCTCCTGGAATGCGGCCTAATTATAACCATTGTATATTTTTAAGAGTTTGGCGAAGACATAAACGTTTACTTTTCCCACTTCTCGCAGCTCGAGCTTGTCAAACAACTCCATTACGCCGGATTCAAACAAGTAATGCATGGCACACATAAAACCGCACACCACTCGGTAAAGTGGTATCTGGGGTCTGCAGCTTCCTCGTCCATTATGGCGTCGCTGAAAATCTCACAGCGCTCTTTGCTTTGAAAATCCAGCAGAGTGAAGCAGCCGCGCTCAACAATTGACACCGGGCATTTGTTTTTGTGTTTGCAGCTTGTTGCAGTGTTTATCCCCGGAAAGTGATTTCTAACCAGATCAGGGGGGGGGGGGGTCGAATAATACACACACTTCAGATGTTACGTTGTGTATTACAGTGGATACAAGGGTGATGGATGCTCGACAGCAGGTGAAGGAAGAGGAAAGAAATGAGCTACGAAAAATGAGTTGAACAGCACAACAGCGCAAATCTTCACATTTAAGAAACAGGGAATCGACCCAAACGATTAATCGATGATCAAAATAGCTGCCGATCAAGTTACTGATGACTGACTAATCAATTCATTGTAAACTGAAACCAACCAGTTTCAAGTCTTCTGTTTATTTCTTATGTCTTCAGGCCTCTAAAATGCAACCCTGTCTCCTTCCTAATTACGATGCCATACAACTAATGGGAAACGGTTTCTTTCTCCCGGATTGTATTTGCAGTTAAAAACTGTTTAAAACACGTGGTTCATGTAAATTGAAAAAAATGCTACAAACCTACTTGTTTATGTTCAAGCAACAGAAGTACTTGGTTAGGTTTCATAAAACATCATGGTTTGGCTAAAAATGATGTTTTTTTAAGCAACTTTTTAGATTTCTGGTTTCACGCGGGACACGAACAGCTGTCCCCTGAGTGAAAGTCCTGTGTTTGTTTGACCCATCGATCCACTCCGAAGTCCCCAATATGCAGAGTTCTGCAATCCATCATTAGAAATGTATTTGTGATACATCAAAAACAAATATAATTCCCTCGAAATGTAATTCACAAATTGGTTCTGTCGTCTGGGTGTGTAATTTGTAGGAGACGGGGCTGCTAAAGTGTTCGTATAAAACACTGGAAAGAACCACTCTGAGGACTCTTGGGAACTATTGCTGGAGTCATATTTTGCTCCAACAATGTTTACTGTGTTAAAGAGCAATCCACTTGTAAAAGGACTGTCAAGCCCAACGAGGTAGGAAACAGCAGGAGGATGAAGTAACAAGTAGTCTATTACCGCCTCCATCTGCACAGTTCAAACAACTGACCAACTATCATAATTGATGTGAAGTGTCCATGTGGCTGTAATGACATCATGTGACAGAACAAGTCCATGTGAAGAAGACTATACAGCTCGGTTTGTTAGAGAAGAGGATGAAAAAACCACACACACACACACACACACACACACACACACACACACTCCCTTTCTTATATTCCTTGAGCTACATTCCTGGAGAGACATGAAATAAAAATGACCTTTCTTTGGATACCTCCTGCCGGAAAAAATGCGCGATCAAATTTTCATGCCGCGCCTCCTCTAAAAGCACCTATCGCGGGGTATTTTTAAACGTCACTTCTGATGGCCGTGTTGGGCCTCCAGGACGTCACCAGCCGCTGGAGAGCCGTGTTCCTGCGAGACGCAGCCATTAGAGGCCAGTCAACACGGTCAATAAGCTTCGGCTTGAGCCTGGAGTACCTTGATTATACGTCTTAAATCTACTCCCCATTCTCTCTTTTTTATCTTAAATATTTATGTTTAGATCTCGACAGAGTCTGCACTCTCGTGTCTCTGGCTTTGGGGGAACTATCGGCTCTCATAAAATCAAGGCTTCTTAAGATGAGGGCTTTCTCTTGTTTCCCTCTGCCAACCTTTAATTCATCTCTTGTCAGGCCCCGTGAGAAGCCAATGCACACATATCACACAGAGCTCACTGGAGCTGCTCCCCAGTCAGCCACAGGCTGCGCGGTGAACGGACGAATGCACGTTTCTCCATCAGATTGGCTGCTAATTTTGCAGCACGATGCCACTGGTCTGACAGGTGTTACCTACACACCGGGGCATCTTTCCCAGACTGTGCCCGGCTTGTTATTTTGTGTTTCCGGAGCAGAAATTTAAAAAAATGATTAAATAAATTGAGCTGTTTTGGCAGAAGTTGCCGTGTCGGATGTGCTGAAGCTGCACAGATGCTCATATCTATTAAACATATTAAAAGTAGGCTTATGTGGCGTTTGCATTGGCCATCAGGCTCGGCCATCAACACAGGCTGCCCATTGGGTAGTTAAGTGACTTGACCAGCTGCTCTGACAAAAACACCAAGAGAGCAGTGAGGTGAAGGCGGATCCATCAAACTGCCAACAGCAAACAAAAGTTATTTCAATCCAGTTCGGTTCATCCATGAAGTGCATGAATCAAGGTGGGTTAACCGGTGCTGAAATATTTAAAAGGCTGCAGTGTTGGAGACTAGACGGCCACACACACACACAGTAGGTGGTCGGCACAGCGGCGGCATAATCAACAAAATCCGCAGGGATTATTCATGGGAGGGTCAATGCACGAGGATTACTAAACATCTGCACGGATCGCAGACACGCTCTCTCTCTCTCACACACTCTCACACACACACACACACACACACACACACAGAGAAACACACAGAGACACTGGCAGATTACTTTGCTTCAACCATGATAGTCCCACAACAAAGTAGACGCAGGCAAATGAGATCAGCAGAGGGTGAAATTCAGAAAAGGCAATCCCGTCTGCTGCACATCGTCAAGGTTTTAACGTAATCTGTGGAAAGTTAGGATGGAGACTGGGCTTTGTTTGAGCTGATGGAGATGGAACTTAAGAGGTGCTGAAGTTGCTATATAGAAATATATATATATATATATATATATATAATAATAGTCTTACCTGTCCTCGCGGCAGCGATGTCTCCGAGGAATTCACAGCCTCAGATTAATCCGTATTGTACCACTAAACAAAATTCTGCTGCACAGACATCACTGTCGAGTCGCGGCGGCGGCGACGCTCCCGGCCACAAACCCCCCACCCAAAAAAAAATATTGTTGGTGCGCGCAGAAGATGCTGGCTCTTTTTTTTGCTTTTGTGTTGGCTCTTACATTCGCGGGGCTGGGCCGCTCCGTGCTGCTCCGTGCGGCTCCGCTACTGGAACTCCTCCATCCCTGCCTCTCCTTCTGTGTCTCTCTCTCCCTCTCTCCCTCTCTCTCTCTCTCTCTCTCTCTCGCTCTCTCTCTTTCTCAGGCGCACAAGTAGCCTATCTGACTGCGCGGCGTCTCGCGGGTTGCTTATTGGAAAGTGAAGCCTTGGTGCGCTCACTCACTCCGATGCGTCAAGTGTGTCTCTCTCTCTCTCTCCCTCTCTCTCTCTTTCCCTCCCTACCTCCTTCCTCGAACCGTGCCGGAGCTGGTGCTGGAGCGGGACGCGCGCGGCCGTCGGAGAAAGAAAGAAAGAGAGACAGAGCGCTGTCTTGTCTGACTGTCTGAAACTCTCCTCGCGGCTCCGGCCATCCGAGCGGAACAGACTCCTTCCTCCGAGTACTATTCCCACTCCTACTACTCCTACTAATACGAGTACTACTACTCTTTCAACACCTCCTCCCCCGCTTGCTGCTGCTGGGATGTCCAAGCAGATGGACCATGTTGTATACCTTTAGGCTGGCTTGTTAAATAGCCTTCTGTGGTACACAACCGGGAGGCTACATCTTAATAACAGCTGTACAAAAAAGCACACATTTGATGTAGCCCATACACTCCCGATTGTTTTATTTTTGCATTATTCAACTTAGGCAAATGAAAAATCTAAAATAATGTTTTTGGTGGTTAACCCTAAGATAGGCTACCTTTGGGCTACTGATCAGCTCAAAAACAATCATCTAGCAGGTGAAATTCTGTCCAACATTTTCTTTGTCATCATTAATATTATAGTGTATTTCTGTAATAATTAGGGCCCGAGCACCGACAACGTCGGGCCGCGAGCTCCCTATTGAAACTGTAGGAATTATTATTATTATTATTATTATTATTCTTTTTCTCTCGAATGAAACGCCATTTTGGGGGCTTTATCATGTCCCCAACATCCCCATATTTGGCAAGCATATCAGGATTGCGGGAAAATTTGATGTTTTATGGGTCCCATGCTCGAGCATGACAAAATTGCTCGCTAGCGCCCTCTAGAAGTTGGAAATGCAATGTTCACATTGTGTCCTGTAACATGCCCTCAAATTTTCATTCCATACAACCACTAGGGGGCGATGCAGTAATACTCCCATTTCTTTGCATTTTTAGGCATTTTTCATCGTTTTCAGGCATTGTACTTTAACGAACTCCTCCCACAGAATTTATACGATCAACTTCAAATTTGGTCAAGATGATCTAAAGACATTAATGATGAAAAGTTACTAAAATGGTCTACTGACATTGAACGTACTTCGTTTTATGTGGCGCCCATGTCACGCACATTTCGTGCCGTTCGCCATGAAAGAGGAAGTTGTTGTAACTCCAAGGTACTTTATTCAATCTGCCCCAAAATTGTTATTCATGATGCTGGTCCAGGCCTGAGCACATTTCCATGGCAACATTTTCACAAAGTCATAGCGCCACCTACTGGCAAAAGGAAATGACAAGTTTTATACTTTGATGTACTCTGACTAGGAAGTTGCCCAGATCAGTCTCAAATTTGGTAAGCTAAGCCGTAAGACATTGATAATGCTTCATCATGAATATTGTGAGTTGTCATTAAACGCTGTTGCCATGGCAACGCATCATTCGCCATGAAAAATGAAGCTTATTTTTCTGTGACTTAGGATGCTCAACAAGCCTTGGAATTTTGCACAGGTGTCATAGGTGATGGAAATAAATATTTCATATGGCTTTTTGGCTTGACCCTTTCATATTGCCTTGATAGCGCCCCCTACAAATTTTCAAAAACGCAGCCCCAGCGCTACGTTTGACCTACATGTATGAAATTTGGTAGGCACATGTATCATATGAAGATTTAACAAAAAAGGGGCTTGGGACTATGCTCTAAAATGAACGGGAAGTCGGCCATTTGGATTTTTGTGTGAACTTTCCCATGATTTCTTGTCGCTATACTTTAACGAACTCCTCCTCGGGACTTTCTCAGATCCTTTTCAAATTTGGTCAGTATAATCTAAAGACCTTTGCTATTAAAAGTTACTCAAAGCTTTATGTTTGATGGAATGGCGTAGCCATGGCGTGGCGGCCATTTTACGTGATTCGCCGTCAAACAACAACCCGGATATAACTCCACAAAACGCAGCCTCAGCACTACGTTTGACTTACATGTATGAAATTTGGTAGCAACATGTATCACATGAAGACTTGAAAAAAAGTGTCTTGGGATAATGCTCTAAAATGAACAGGAAGTCGGCCCTTTTCATTTTTGTGTGAATTTTCCCTTGATTTCTAGTCGCTATACTTTAACGAGCTCCTCCTAGAGACTTTGTCAGATCCTTTTCAAATTTGGTCAGTATAATCTAAAGACCTTTGCAATTAAAAGTTACTCAAAGCTTTACGTTTGATGGAATGGCGTAGCCGTGGCGTGGCGGCCATTGTACGTGATTTGCCATTAAACAACAAGCTGATGTAACTCCACTGGACTTGCTCAAATATGTCCCAAACTTGCCATATTTGATAACAGTCATGGCCTGAGGATGTCTACAAGCCCATTTTCACTCAAAGTCATAGCGCCAACTACTGGCAACAGGAAGACAGCGTTATGTGACAAACTGAATCCGATTTATATGATATTTACATGATGTGGTCTATACTTGATGTAGAGCAACACAATGCATGTTTGCACGTGTTCTCTAGTGCCACAGTGGATACAGGAACTGGTGGAATATTTGCACTACATAATTTCCAGCGTCACACAGTCCAAGCATTAAAAATATGTCTCACTTGTGGGTACGCTGTCTGATGATCGCAGATATTTATGTCCGCTTCTGCCGGCGTACCGCCAGTACCCCCGAGACGCGGGAAGGTGCGAGGGCCCGTTCATCGCTGCTCGCAGCTTTAATTCTTATTTATGATTCATTCATTTGTAAGTGTGTTCCTCCTTTTTGACATTTGTTTACATGGCAATACCATGGAAGTAAAGTCTGTTTACAGGTGTTAAGGAGTAGCCTCCTTCTGCATATGTTCTGATAAATTGCCTCAAGTGATGTCACCTGAGTCAGCGTCGGTGGGGGCTGAAGACTAGTCATTTAAAACCCCCTCTCAAAAAAGGTGGAGGTGTCAGGTAAGAAAGTAGCGATCCTCTCTGGTTGAGGCTCGCGGCTACATTAGCAGCTACCGACATAACACGCCCGAATCTCTTATCGTGGCGCCGGCTGGCAGTTGAGTTGCATCATGGGTGTAGGAGTTAGGTATTCTTCATGAATTTTCATGTTATGAGAATTGGTTTTAAATCTGTTTCTGAACTGATGACACGAAGACATCAAGAACATTACCTGTTTCTGTTACATCTCTGGGGTCCGCATCACTTTGTAAGATAATCGACTGCCTGTGAATTACTTTGAAAATATAATCAAACATTTTTGAATGAATAGCTGAATTTTGCAATAATTATTATTATTACTGCAGATAGAGCACTGCAATTAATGAGGGAAGACAATTTAAAGAAAAGCAATATACATGACACAATTACTGGCTATAGATTATAGCCAGTAATTGCCATGGACCCCCCTTAGAGTGCCTGATTGGATGCACACTGGAAGATGCTAACCCATGTGATTTGTTAAAAGTGAAAACACTTTCAATATTTCACTTTGTTTCATTCAAGCCTTTAGAATAAAATGTCTTCTTCTTGAACAGAATAAAGGCTTTCAGCATTGAACAGTTCTCTAGACAGGTGAATTAGCAACAGAATCCAGCATTGTCTCACTATCGGTTTTTCCACTGTGGCTCTAAAAATAACCCGTATTTACTTAATTTTCCAGGTCATATCCAACAACAAACAAGGTATTTGGAGAAAATGAAATGTGTCAAAGGAGGCAAGCCTGTAGCCTGATGCGTGTTACATAAGATAGCTACCTAGCTTGACGTGACGTAAGTGACTTTATATAAAATGCGGTGCGCCACGGGTATTTGACTCTGGGAATGAGACTGCGCTGGATTTTCAGAATGTATATTTATAAAATATATCATCTGCTTGCAGAGATAAGATAAAGTTGCATTGAATTTCATTAAAACAAACAAAAACAAAATACAATTGGGGTCATAGTGACACCATGAACAACAGTGAAGTCACTATGACGTCACCCGTACAACAAGTCCCTCAAGTGATTCCACAAAGACTAATACCACCTAATGTTCCTATTACGGTGAGTAAAGAACATGCAGTAAGTGCAGCTTTCCCAACAGACAACACCGGCTAATCAACCATTTCCCTCCCCCATCATTCATCTCTTTCTCTGACCATTAAATAGAAAAGAAAGAGGGGCTCTCTTCAATCAAATCGGATCGCTTGAAAGGATCAATATTTGCCACTACTATTGACAGGGGAGGCAGGAGGTCAAACGGGTCCGTGACCTCTCAACATATCCACCTTAAAAATCAATGAGACAGATTCTGCGAACACCTGTGAATCCGCCGGTATTTGCTGGTTCCAGCCGGCACTGTACATGGACGGTGATCGAACAGCTGAATCACGGACATTTACATAATCACAAAGGCCGGTCAGCACTAAAAGGAGTGCAGTGTGTCGGCGAAGGATAGTCTCATAAGGTGAGGTTCGGCTTAAAATGTGTCAAAAGCTGTAAGGGATGATACCTAGCAGCTCGGACAGGTCACTCCAAATCACGCATCGTTCCTGCCTCAATATGAGTTAATTCGGAAGCTCTGACCATCAAAGAAGTTCTATTCTATTGAGATATCAGATTTTTGCTTTCACAGGTGTTTCAAAATGCAACCTAGACACTTCAGATGTGCCCCAAACGGTTTATTTGTCTCTTGTTTACGCGCTTGTTCACTTTTACCGGTTTCGGCAACACTTCATGGATTTGCATATTTATTCCCTGGAGGCTATACAGACGTTAACCAGAACCTCAGTGGAGAAAAAAAAGCTGAATAGCTGAAGCTAAACGCCATTGCAGTTTAAAGAAAAGAAAAAGGGCAGATGCTTATTATGGCTCCAATTAGATGCACTGTCCAACTTTCAGCTGTTTCGAAAACGGGTCCCAGATATTCACA